AATTTACCACGGTATAAACGCTTATAAGAGCAGAATCTCTGGAAAAAGCCCGTCAGTGGCACACGTGACGTCTGTGGCAATCCAGGGAAACCCTTAATAGGCGCAAATCTTGATCCATTCTGGGGTAAGATCAGAACAAATGCTGCCATTCGGTTTCAATAAACCCCTTCAGAGCATAAACGTCAACTAAGTGGAGACCTACTTGCATATCCACGGTCTGTGACTACGACATTCTTGGAGTACCCTAAATCAGGTATAAGTAATATAATCCGCCCTCATAGTTCGCAAACGCTTTTGAAGGTCTGTCCTAAACTAACTATGCTGACAACCTTTCCGACAACAGCCCAGCTAGCAAACTTTAGGAGGACATCTCCAAATTTAAATAACACGAATCTCTCAGTTGTGAGAGTATGGCTGGGTGCTCCGTTTAATGGCTACAGGCGGAAGAGACTGTGGGCGAGACCCCAAGTTATCTCCCAGCATTTTCATCTGTTTAGGACGACAGGAGTCCGCTATTCCGTCTTCCAACTGTGAAAGTACCACCGCAAAGCACCGAGTTTCGTTCCAGCTTACCAATCCTAAATCATCGGTATACATCTTGATTCAGGTAATTTAGGTCAGGTACAAGTTCTATCATCATCATTTGTCGCTACTAAGAGGGTCCAAGACGAATTGAGAATTTTTACTGTCCGTCACTTATTAGTCGCCTAGCGGCCGTGGAGCCCATGGAACTTTTATAAAAAGCTCCAGGAAACATGAACGGTAAGCCTTGGTAGTAAGAGTGACGAGTAGTTATGAATGATTTTGTGCCTGCTTTCGTAACATTCAGGCCAGTGCATACGAAGAAATACTGATAGCCAGATGACCTGGTCTCTTTGTCGGAGACCCCCAAAGGATACTGAGACTAGTTTGACTGTTAGTCAGGAAACTTTAGGGGTCAAAACGTTCTAGTTGAGCATTTGCTATTTCTTTCTTTAGAGAGTAATCAGGAGTCATTGAGGTATTATCTTCGACACATCTCTGGGAGTAAT